AGTTGGCTTCCCACAACAAGCTGATGGTGCCCAGCATGTGGTGGCAGGGCCACCCAGCAAGGTTGGGGGAGACAGTGCGTAGGTGCTCAGTGGATCCTGGAATCCCAACATGGTGCACACACCTGCTCGGTGGGATTGGCATGGCAGCGGGCCCAGCAGGAGGTGGCGAACCAGCTGGGGGGCCAGCAGCTGAGCCAGGGTGCTAGTGGCAGGGGTCCAGCAATGACCTCCCTTGTCGGGTAAAATCCCTCATTTGGGACTAATCGGACCCCGAGGGTAGCATGGCCAATACATAATTTGTCATTTATTTTCATTCACAAAGTCTCTCACAAAAGCATTATTTCCTTACCAAAAGCAATCAAAAAGTCCTGAACTAGAGAGTATACTACAGAACTAAAATAGCATGTTGTTCCGGTTTGTGAGCTCAGTACCTGTACTTCAGAACATTGTTCTTTTTTCTCTGACTCTTGCTCTTAATTCTGGTGCAATTTTGTCCTGAACATATTCACAGTTTTGAACTTTGCCTTTCATGCTGTTTCATTCACTACCCATTAGCCAAGTATGTACAGAGTTGCCATCATTTGTGCTGCAATTTTGAGCGGCTGCTTATGCTGGTCAAAGCTCTGAAATACTGAATGAGGTACTTAGTGTTCTTGTTACTGAACCATAGGGACCTTTGTTCTGCTTTTTAGTGGACTGCTATTTATAGGCACTATGTACTCTATAGCAGCGGTTCTCAAACTCTTTGGGCTCCGGAGTCCTTTACATGGGTAAAAATTTATGCAGAGCCCCCAGTGGTCCACTGATTGTATGTGTTGTACCTATCGATGTTTCCAGTCTGTCAATCTCGCGGAGCCCTGTGTCCCTCCAGACAGCCAGCAGAGAATAAGGGTCCCTCAGGAGGTGGGATGAGCCCTGGAGAGGCCTAGGGCAGTGGTCCCCAACCTTTTGCGGCTGCAGGGTACCTGGGGCCTGCGCCCGGGGCACAAGAATGGCCTGGGCTGGCCCTGGTCACTCGGCGGGTGCACATAAATGTCCCGGCAGGCGCCATGGTACCTACAGGCACTGCATTGGGGACCACTGGCCTAGGGGATAGGGCATCAGTGTCTGGAGCACAGGGTGTGGTGGACTAGAGTCCCTGGCCCCCGCCCCCACCCCACCCCACCCAGGCAGCAGCCGGACAGCCAACACAGGCTGCTGCAGGGATCAAGCTGCCTCCCATATCAGGAAGGCAAGATAAGGGATACCCTGAATGTGGCGTGGGATGGGTTCTTGAGTGGACTAGGGGATAGGACATTTGCCTGGGAGCACAGGGTGGTGGGCTTGAGCCCAACCCACCCGGGGAGCAGTTGGCTAGCCAGCATAGGATACCCCAGGGATGGAGCTGGCTCTTGTATTAGTATGGCAGAATAAGAGACCCACTGAAGGTAGGGAGGTGGGTTAGGTTCTGGAATGGCTTAGGGTTAGGGTATTTGCCTGGGGAGCACAGAGTGGTGGTCTGGAATCCTATCCACCCTGGGAGGAGCTGGACAGTAAACCCAGGCTTCCCTAGGGATGGAGCTGTCTCCAGCATTTGTGAAACAAGGTAAGGGACCTGCAGAGGGTGGGGTGGGGTGCGGTGGGATCTCCAGTGAACTCAGGGATAGGGCATCAGCCTCTGGAGAACAGGGTGGTGATGGCTTGATCTCATTCCCCTCCACCCATGTAGGCAGTGGCTGGGCAGCCAACACAGGCTGCCCCAGAGATGAGAGCTGGCGCCTGCATTAGGAAAGCAGGAGAAGGGCCTCTTTGAAGGTAGGTGGTGGGGTGGGTCCTTGAGGGGCATAGTGCACTTGCCTGGGGAGGGCAGAGTTGTGGTTTCAAGTCCCACCCTGGAAGTGGCCAGACAGCTGCCCAGGGATGGAGCAGCAGAGCCAAGGTAGGCCCAGTCCTGCCCCATCCCTGAAAGCAGCTGGCATGTACAGCAATGACTCCATGTGTTGCCCCTCATCTACAAGCACCAACCCCACAGTTTCCACTGGCCATGGTTCTCCATTATTGATCAATGCGAACTGCAGGAGCGATGTCTGCAAGCAAGGACAGCATATGGAGACCCCCTCCTCTGACCATATCAGGGGCTGCAGGGACATGCCAGCCTCCTCCAGGAGCACAGTTGCCAGAGGGATAATTACTCCAGCCATGACAGGCTCAGTGTTTTAGAACTCACTACTCAACTAATTAAATTTAAGTACAGGCAGTCCCCGACTTACGCGGATCCGACTTATGTCAGATCCGCAGTTACGAACGGGGCTGCCCCAGAGTACACGGACTGCAGGACCTCGCGGTCCTGCCGCCCGTGTACTCTGGGGCTTTCTCTGCGTCTCCCTGGTCTGCATTGGCTCTCTCCTATGTATACAGTATTTTAAAAGCCTCAGAGTTGTAAAGAAAACACCAATATTTTATATAAGGACATGTCTACACTAGGAAATTATTTTGAAATATCTACATTTGAAATAATAACTCCTGAAATAACGAATTTGAAATAAGCTTATTCCCCAAAGAAAGCAGGAGTTAGTATTTTAAAATAACCAGCCTGTTATTTTCAAATGACAGGCTTGGTAGTGTGGACGCTCTGCTTATTATTTTGAAATAAGGGGGGTTATTTTGAAAGAATTCCCTACTGTAGACTGGGGCTAACGGGTCTGCTTCTTCCTTTCTATTCACAAGGCCAGTAACCCTGTCAAAGAAGAAACTTAAGCTCAGTTTGCATGATTTGTTCTTCACAAATCCATGCTGGCTGTTCCTCATTACTCTGTTATCCTCTAGGCACTTGCAAAATGACTGTTCAATAAATTGTTCTGGTACCTTTCCATGTATTGAAGTTAGGATGACTGATCTGTAATTTCCCACATATTCTTTATTCTCTTTTTAAAAGTCAGGTCTTCTTCAGTCCTCTGGGGCCTCCAGGGTTCTCGAAGATAATTACTAATGGTTCCAAGTTTGCAAGTTTGCTTCAGTTAATATCTTATGTAACCAGGATGAATTTCATCAGGTACTACTAACTTGAATCTACCTAATTTATCACAATATTCTTTAATCTGTTATTTTCCTATTTTGTCTTGGGTTCTTCCCTCGTGTTGTGAATAATTGTATTAAATATCTGGTCACCATTAATCTTTTTAATGAAACCTGAAGCATAATAGGCATTAAACCTCCCAGACCTTCTTGATGTCATCAGATCTTCTTCCTCACTAAGCAGACTAACACTTTCTGATGTCTTCCTCATGCTCCTAACATTTTTAAAGATCTCTTCTTATTACTGCTTATACAGGCAGTCCCCGCAGTTACGAACGGGGCCCTTCCTCTCCCTGGTCTCCAGCAGACCACGGAGAGGAAGCAAAGCGGTGGAACACGCGGGCAGCGGACAGGGTTATCCGCTGCCCACGCGCTCCGCGGCTTGGCTCTGCTTTGCCCCCCCGTCTCCCTGGCGGTCAGTTTCAGCAGCGGCTGAATCTGGACGCCAGTTCCGACTTGCATACAGATTCAACTTAAGAACAAACCTACAGTCCCTATCTTGTACGTAACCCGGGGACTGCCTGTATAAGAGAGAAATGAAAGTTATGAAATGCACAGACTAGTCAAACACCAAAAAGAACCCACTTTGCAAGCAGTCAAAGTAGTAACAACACCCCACCCCCATGTACAGGCTGAATCTGGACGCCAGTTCCGACTTGCATACAGATTCAACTTAAGAACAAACCTACAGTCCCTATCTTGTACGTAACCCGGGGACTGCCTGTATAAGAGAGAAATGAAAGTTATGAAATGCACAGACTAGTCAAACACCAAAAAGAACCCACTTTGCAAGCAGTCAAAGTAGTAACAACACCCCACCCCCATGTACATGTTGGGTCAGGAGATGAGGGAAGGACGGTGTGTTTGTGAGAATGACAGACACACACACAGTGTGTGAGAGTGACAGAGATTTGCATTGGCAAGCTCTCTTCTTTCCCTTCTCTCTGTGTGGAGACAGGGTACAGGAGCTGGGGGGAAGCACACCCTGACATCATCACCCCCCTCTTTTCCCTCCCACACCCTTCATAGCAAGCAGGAGGCTCCCATGGGGCAGCTCCAAGGCAGAGTGCAAGAGTAGCAGGACAATGTGGTCAGGGGCAACTGAAGTGCCAGCACTTGATAGCTTCCCAGCCACACCAGTCAGAATCACCTGTCAGATGCTCGAAGATCTACTGGTTGATCTCGATCTCCTGGTTGGTGACCACCGGTATAAGAATTGTGATGGCTTTGTTCCTGTGGTGTACTAAGGAAGTCCAGAGACAAATTTGATCAGGAAGAGTCAAGGGTATTTAACTTCCAACTGGAGAGCAGAATAGTTTTCCATGCAGTATGGAGTCTACTAGGGTGCTAAGACTGGCAGGTGACGAACAAGGAAGGCTTAGAAAACTAATATCTATCAGAATCTATTCTGGATTTCTCACAAGTAATGTTACCCATTCAGGTGACTCATTCATGGGTCTTGTGATATTTTGAGGTTTTTTTATAAAGCTCCAGATGCTGAAATCAAATGATTGTATCTGAAACTGAGCTTTCATTTTTTTAAAATAGCTTTAGCCTGCCTTCTGTTGCTTTAAAAAAAAATCTTTAAAAACTGCATCTTAAAGACTTAAAAAACCAAAGGGCATGCAACACTTAATCAATATTGGGTTTTTATGTGACTTGACACTGAGTTTTAACACTTGATGTTGGCAATACTGCAAATGATCCCTCCCATTTAGTAGGATGCTTACAGTTATCTGGTTGTAGTTGAAACATTTTGTTTGCTATTTGCTAATGTGCAATTAGCCAAATGTAGTTAGAGCATCTCTTAAAAATGTGTAGGTAAACTGTATTTTTCTGGTGTAATTAGGCATCCAAGTGTAACATCATTTATAATTTTTAGCTGTATTGTGATCTCCAGAGCAATTAATTCAGGTGTAATATTCTGTCCTTTTTGATTTCCACAGATTCAAGAAACTTTCAAGGACCAATGCACCCAACAGCTCATGGAAGAAAAAATTCGTATCAAGACATCGTTGGTTTCTAAATTACCGAAATATGGAACGAAATCTTTAGGGAGCACCCTACAGCCAATCACAAATAGGACAGCTGTTACCTTGTCAGGGAATCCTCAGAGCAGCCCTGGTAAAAATTGTATTAAGCACAATGGCACTGATAGCATGTCTTCCTTTTCTTTTAACTGGCAAAAATCAAATAAATATCAACTTGATAATCAAAGCGGTAGAGAATCTAACTCTGCTCAAAATTCCAGTGAAAAACTAGTCGATTCTGAGAAGTATTCTCCATCACAAGGAGGATTTGGTAAAGATGTGCTCACCACCTCTTCAATAGCATCAAAAGCAGCAAAACAAGTCAACATGTTTGTATCCTCTACAGAAGAATTAAACCAAAAGTCTTTGCTTGGACTGTCTAGTTCGGTGAAATTCACCAAAGGTACGTTATTTGGCAGAACTTCATTGTCTGGAGTCAGTTATCCAAAATCACGTTTATATGGATTTTATGGAAATAGGTCATCTGTAGACCTGCAGAGGTGTAAAATTAACTCCAGTGCCACCAAGACTAGTTCAGGAGAGAGTTTAGCACAATCAACAGATAACATTGCATCATTTTCTTCTGAAAAAATGGTTAGATCACAAAGCTTTTCACATTCTGTTCAGAATTCTTTCCTCCCTGCTGCATCCTTAACTAGATCACATTCCTTTAATAAAGCTGTAGATCTTACAAGGCCTTATCAAAAACAACACCTGGCTATTAGAGCATCTCAGAGGTCTATTCTGTTGTCCAGAAAAACACAACAGTTGGATGTAGCCAGTGGAAATGAACCTTTAAGGTATGGATTTACTAGGCCATACACTGGTATATCAACCTCTGGTTTAAAGAAGCTGCCAGTCTCAAATGGATCCAGGGCACCACCCTCTTTGGGCTATAGGATGGGTCGTCCTTCTTTACTGAAAACTAGTACACAGCAGTTTACTGGAAAGACCATTGTGGATGACAACAAAAGTACAACTACTGACATTTGTTTAGCAAAGGTCTCTGAGATTATAGTAGGTGTCAATGAAACCACTGAGAAAAAAGATATAGAAAATGATAGTCAAAAAATAGAATATGGTGAAGCCCTCCATGACAGTCTGGGAAACCATGGCTCAAAAGTCATATGTATGAATGATGATGTGGATGAAATATCCATATCTTCCTTATCCTCTTCTGAGAAGAATGACCTGAGTGAAGACTTCAGCGATGACTTTATAGATTTAGAAGATGCAAACAGAACAATGCAAGCAAAGCAAGAAGTCCCTGTTAAAGTACATAGATGTGCAACGCCAGTAGATCCAGTCATTTCTCTCCAAAAAAGTGAAAGGTCTCATTGTAACACCAATAAATGGCTGGATATCGATGTTTCTGGTAAATATTTTATTGCATTCTATTTTTTAACTTCCCTTTATGTCGAGGAAACACTTTGTTTAAAATACTAATCAGGTTTCAAGTATCCCTAATTGTATCTAACTCCTTGTAAAATAAAACTAATTTTTCTGTATTTTCAAATTAGTTGCTGCCTCGAGTTACATGTAAATTATTATTAGTAATAAATTATCCCAGGCCTTGGATATTGGATTTTCTGGTTGTCTATACAGACATGGAATACTACTCCATATAAGGTTTAAATTGAGTTTGTCTCCAAAAGAAAATCTCCCATCCTGTTTTAGGTACTTCAGAAGGGACAAACTGATGACTTTGGCACTTCATTTTTTTTATTTTTTTTTTTTAAAAAGAAAGTAATGGCCTTCACTTTTAGTTGATGGTTTTCAAGAGTGAATTGTGTGTGCTTATCTTTGACATTGAAGTAAACGTAGTATCAGTAAATCTCTAATTTATTTTATAATTCTGAAATACAAGATAGAAATTCAATGAAATGCTGATCCATTAAATGTTGTTTGCAGTCTAATGAAAACTCCTTACAGTAAAAACTGACAGACACTTCTCACTAAAGCTAAACATAGTTTAAAAATCTGCACCATTGGCATAACTCTTGTTGTTCTATTATTTTTCCATGGTATTACTTCATTTCTTTTTTGAGCTGTTGCGATATGCTAGGAAATATTCTTCTCCAAAAAGCTGATATTGCATCACAGACTGAGTCTGTGTGCATAAGTGACTGTTATCCTGCATGAGACTGAGAATCATGTGTTGCTTTGTCCTGATCTGCTCTCTTTCCTAAAACTGGGAGCACTGAACAGTTGTCTAATATAATATCCTAAACCTCTTCAGAGCACTTTAACAAATAAATGTACTATACATGCTTATAAATTTATGGCGAGCTATTTGCCATAGGAATTATAACATCAAATTCACAAGGATAACATATGTTTATGTTTAGGAATTTACACAAACAATTTTAAGTTAAGGCTCCAATGGCAAACAAGTCCGCCCATATTGTACATGAATGTATAAGTCTCCAATATCCAAAAGAGATCCCAGTCCCTTTTCACATAGTTGTAACTTATATATATCTAGCACCGATAGAACGGAAGATATCCCAGGTGATAGCATCTACAAGGTGCTCCTAAGGGAAATCATAAGTTCTTCTTCGGGGATGTCCCCGCGGGTGCTCCACTATGGGTGCTGGGCTTGCCCCGGCGCCGCAGACGGAGACTTGTTGTTAGCAGTGTCTGGCCTGACCACGCATGTGCCACAGGCTCGCGGCTTTCGCGCTCTTTTTGTCGCGCGGTCCGGCCCCTCCGCCAGTTCCTCTTCACCGCCTCAGGCTGCAGACGCTTGTAACCGCGCTCCTCACTCCTTTGTATATAAAATTTCCTTTTCCTCCCTCTCTCCCCTCTTTCCCCATAAAGTGTTGAAAGAAACTTTTTTTTTTGCCTGACCACGCATGTGCCACAGGCTCGCGGCTTTCGCGCTCTTTTTGTCGCGCGGTCCGGCCCCTCCGCCAGTTCCTCTTCACCGCCTCAGGCTGCAGACGCTTGTAACCGCGCTCCTCACTCCTTTGTATATAAAATTTCCTTTTCCTCCCTCTCTCCCCTCTTTCCCCATAAAGTGTTGAAAGAAACTTTTTTTTTTTTAAAGCAACAAGAGATAAGAAGCAGCGGGCTGCTGGCAAATGTCAGGGACTGGCTTAAAAAAATGCGGCTCGTGCTGGGAGGCAATGCCAGCCTCGGACGGCCATGCAGAGTGTGTTCACTGCCTGGGGGAGTCTCACATCCCCCAAAAGTGTACCCACTGCTTAAGGCTCACCTCTAGAGGCAGGAAGGATAGGGTCAGGCGCCTCCGTATGTTCCTCTTTGAACAACTGCAGCAGGCTGACTCTAATCAGCAGCCTCATAAGCGCCGGGCTTCCTCCCCTACTGCGGGACTCCAGAAGAAAATGAGCCTGTCCCCAGCAAGATCCCTGCCAGCTGCCTTTAATGGCAGGGAGAGCCAGGCAGAGACACCTGGGACTTCTGGCTTTGTAAAGCCACGTCCCTCTGTCTAGGCGGCTTCAAAGCCTAAGCGGCCACGGGAGTCTTCAAAGATGCCGGCTCCCCAGCCTGCATCAGCGCAGCCGCTTCTTCCTCCTCCAGCACTGAGCGTTGAGCCGTCGCCGAGAGCAACCTCGGACCCGACCACGACACCGGCCCTGGCACTGCCCCCGAGTTACCATGCAGTGCCGGACTACACGGCGCCGACCCGTTCCACAGCCAGTGCGGTGCCGATCGCTCCTGCCCCGCCGGGGCCCGGTCCCCCCCGCCCCCGCCGCACCAGGAGCCGAGCAATTCAGCGGCTAGCGCTTCAGCGCATGCCGCAACTCAGCTACCCCAGAGCCCTGCTGCTCCCCATTCTCCACGCCGCCGCAGCTGCTCCCGCTCCCGCTTCTTCTCCCCGGCACGGTCCTCTCCTCTGCCGGCACTCCGATCCCCACGCCGGTCTCCTCGTAGACTGCCCTCCCCGTTTCTGGCTGCTGCATCTCCCCATCTCAGGCACCAGTACAGGCATCTCTCTGCCTCTCCTGCCTCGGCCAGGGCATCACACCTCCGCTCCTGCTTGCCCTGCTCCCCGTACCATTATCTGTACGGCAGCCGCTCTAGCTTCCCCGGTGACCGTTCGCAGCGCCATGGCGCCAACCATCGCAACGACCGTGACTTGCGGCATTCCCATAGCCACTACTCTTACCGACCACGATCCGTCTCGGACTACGCTGCACGCAGGCGCTCTCCAACCCCGGCTCCCCTTACTTCAGAGCCGGAACATACTCCCTCCGTGCTCCATATCTCGGGGTCTTCCATTCCGGTTTCATCTTCTCCAGAGGATGCACTGAACCCCGACGACAGCTCTCATCCAGACGACCTCTGTTAATTCCAGGAATTACTTAAGCGGGTAGCTATTACACAGGAGATTCTGCTACAAGAGCTCAAAGATAAGCAGCATAAGCTCTTCAGGAATCTCCAACCCCGACATAGTTCACGCCTCGCCATCCCTCTCGACAAAGGCATCCTGGAACTCGCTGACGAGGTGTGGCATGCTCCAGCGTCAGCCCTTCCCACCAACAAAAGAGCCGACAAGAAATATTTCGTGCCACCAAAGGGCATGGAATTCCTCTCCGCCCATCCACAGGCTAACTCTTTGGTAGTTGACGCAGCTCAACAGAGATCTAGAGCCCCTCACCTCAAACACCAGGGCTCTGATAAAGACGTAAAGAGGCTCGACGTCCTGGGCAGGAAGGTATACACCTCAGCGACTTTACTCCTCAGAATCGCCAATTACTCGGTGCATCTCTCCAATCATACCTTCGACACATTCTCACGCCTCACTCCCCTCATGGATCACCTCCCCGATTCAAAAAGAGGGTTACACATCAGCGAGAACGTCCCTCCAGATGGCCATGGATGTGGCTGATACTGCTGCTCGTTCCGCCGCTACGGCTATTGTTATGCGTAGAGCTTCTTTCCTTCAAGCGGCAGGAGTTCCAAAGGAACTACAGACAAAAGTCGAGGACTTACCCTTCGACAAGGATAAGCTCTTTGCAGAGACCATGGACGCAATCCTGCGCTCCTCTAAAGACTCTCGGACAACCCTGCGAACTTTGGGGATGTATACGCCCCCCTTAAAGAGACGCCGGTACTCACCCTATCAGCGCAGATATGGTTACCCCTACACTAGACACCAGTGGCAACAACAGCACCAACAACAGAGGCCTTTTAACAACCAGCGTTCTCGCCAGAGGCCTCAACAGCGCCAAAACCTGACCGGCAGAAGGAACATGCCTTCCAACAGCAAGCAACAGATTTGATGTGTTGGTCGAGGGCGAGCACACAACCACAGGCAGCACCGTGAATCGTTCAACCAAGCTGTTTCACTGCCGTCTAAGACCCTTTCTACTTCAATGGGAAACAATCACCACGGACAAATGGGTCCTCGAGATTGTTCAGTTCGGCTATCCTATCTCTCTTATAGCCATCCCACCAACCACTCCTCCCACCCCGTCCCTCTTCAGGGACCCCTCTCACGAGACTCTCCTCAGACTAGAGGTCGACCGCCTTCTCTCTCTGGGTGCCATAGAGCCAGTTCCGAAGGACTTCAGGAACAGGGGTTTTTACTCTCACTATTTCCTCACCCAGAAAAGGTCCGGAGGCTGGCGTCCTATCCTAGACCTCCGTCGTCTGAACAAATATCTCAGAAAACAACGATTCAAAATGACAGTTAGCTGCCATAATCCCTATTTTAAATCCACAGGACTGGTTTGCCGCCCTCGACCTCCAAGACGCCTATTTCCACGTCCCTATTCACCCTGCTCACAGAAGGTTCTTGCGCTTCGTCGTGGCGAAGGACCATTTTCAATACAAGGTCCTCCCCTTCGGGCTATCTTCAGCCCCCAGGGTGTTCTCAAAGGTCCTATCCGTGGTCACAGCCTTTCACCAACGCCAAGGGGTGCTCATCTTCCCTTATCTGTACGACTGCCTGCTCAAAGGCGCTTCGGCACACGAGGTCTCCCACATGGTTCACCTCACGATGCAAGTCTTTCAATCGCTCGGACTCCTCCTCAACGAACAGAAGTCTGTCTTGCATCCCACTCAGGACATCGAGTTCATTGGGGCCCGTCTCGA